GGTTAAAGAAGTAGGAAATTGGCTAAGGCACAAAATAGTCGGGTTGCCAACCCCGACTACTTATTCTGGGTCTTGCCCCCTATATAAGCCAACTCAAACTCTTCTCCCCCTAAATCCATCGTTTCTAGCCGCCTCCCTCCTCTCCAAAATAGGTGTTCTCTTACTATGGTGCCATCAAGCTCAATTTCAACACCATTTTGTGACCAAAATTTGTCGTGAAAGATCATTAGGGTAATTTCTCTTCCTTCTCTCCTCTTTTAACATGTAGAAATCTAGGGCTTTCTCTCAAAAATGAATTTCTAGGGTTTGAACTATATTTGTAGTAGTTTGAATACTTTGTGTGTTAATTGTTGTAATTGAAATTAAACTTTTAGGGCATAGAATGCTCAATTCTGGGGTTTAGGATTTTTAATTTGGGGTTTAGGGCTTTTGGTCAAAATTATATGAGATTATTTGCATCTTTGGTTTTCAATTTGGGGTTTAAGGTTGTAATTGATAATATTTTTTAAAATTTTTACATTTAAATGATATAATTTTCTTTTGCATAGGTTGAACAATATGATTTGTATTGCTGATGTGGCATAAACATGTACCAAAAATATTACAAGTGCACAACCGTGTCAAGTTATAGTATAAAGATATCGATCCCACGAGGAAGGTGTTTTGTAGGAGAAAATATAAAATTGGTTCTTATGTTGTGTGTGTGACAAATAGGAGTGATGAGTGAATGTGATTGTGGAGAGATGGAGAGAATGAAAATGATTGTGTAAATGAATATATTTGAGAGTAGAAGTGATAATATAAATGTGATCAATAAGACAAGAAGGAAAAATCAAGAACAAATAAAAATTAAGAATGAAAAATAAAATTCAAGAAAGTAAAGATGGTGGATTCAATTAAAGATATGGATAATCTAAAATTAAACTCACTTCTTAGAAAAGGGTGATTCCCTAGAGGGTTCTAGCCTAAAGGCGAATAAAAAAACAAAAAGAAAAACTAAATCCAAGAGGGTTCTAGCCTCAAGGTGAATAGTGCAAGAAAAAATCTAACTACAAAATAAATTACAAAATCTAAACTACAAAATAAATTACAAGAATTAAATGCAAGAAATAAATGTACTCTATAAGCATAAAATAAATCTAATCTATAAGCATGAAATAAATCTAAGGCAGGAGGGTTCTAGCCTCTTGGTTATTTAACAATAAAATAAAATCTAACTACAAGCATAGAAATAAATCTAAACTAATAAGCAATAAAAAAGAAATAAAAGAGAAAAAGAAATGCAAACTTCTAAATAATTCTTTATCTCCATCTTCATCATCCAACAAAGAGAAGAAATATTTAAAGTGGTGAAAAACTTATTTTATTAATTGTAACAAAAGTTATAAATTTGGAAGGCCTTCTCAATTAAGAGTGGCCCTCCTCTCCAAATAGAGTTATAAAAATTTTTACACCCCTAACCCCTCACTCTCTACCCATATTTATAGTAAGCATCAGTGAATGAGAGCCCTTGGATTGAAATCTTATCCAAAAATAATAATTTTCAGCCTTAGATCTGTAACAAAATGACGGACGTATCGATGCCAGCATCGATAGGTGTATCGATGCTGGCATCGATACGGGCATGCATCGATGCCCCGTCAATGCTGGCATGATGTCAAGCCCTCTCTAATTTCTGTCCGAGCTCCCCCCTTGTGTGTTGGGCTTTTGGCAACTTGGGCTTTTGAGCTTTTGGATAATTCTTGATTTCTTCATGCATTTGTTTTAGTTTTGGCTCTTTGGCATTTCTTGGGCTTTAATTCTTCTTCTTAGCTTGGGCTTTTGGATAATTTGAAAATTGATTTTTCAATAGGTTTGTTTGCTTCATTTCTTCATTTAATCAATGGGTTTTTGTTGAGAGATGGGAGTTTGAGATTTATTCTTCATCATTTAATCAATGGGTTTTTGTTGAGAGATGGGAGTTTGAGATTTATTCTTCATTAACCTGCAATTAAAAGATAAAAATAATTATTAATGGTATATTTATTCATATAAAATAGGTAACGAGGGTATAAAATTGTAATAAAATATAATTATCAATTGATTGCTCTTATGGTGGGAAAATTAATTATGGAATGAATAATATATCATTGTACGTCGGAGGGGTAACGATGTCGTTAATGATCTCGGAATCATATAGTTATCGTGACTTGATTAATGAATTACACCAATTTACGGGAATTGACCCACGAGAGTACACACTAAAAATAATATGCAATTAGCCCATAACTTTTGATAGAACATCCACAGTTGAGATCTCAAACGATTATCATATAAGTATTATGTTTAATTTGAGCAAGTTGTAACTATCGGTAGAATTGTTTATTAAAAAGTTGTCATATAATTTGTGCCAAATATTCAACCCTCCATGAGAATTCTCACACGTGTTAGATTTGGCAGTTGAGTCTGATGATTTTTTGTAACAATCGTAATTTTCGATACATATTTAAATGAATTTTCTAGTATTTAAAATATTAAATTTCATCTTATTAATATTTTCCCCAAATTTCTAAAATTCTCTACAGTCAAGGCATCTACAATATTCGGCGAGCTAGGGTCCTTTTGTAACAGCCATAATTTTTGATACATATTTAAATTAATTTTCTAGTATTTTAAAATATTAAATTTTATTTTTTTCCCAAATCTCCAAAATTCTCTACGAATAAAATATATATATATATGTATATAGTCCTATGTTTGCTAAATATTAAATAATAGTTATGGTGAATATTTTTTAAAACTATTATTTGGTCGCTGATATTATCTATCTTGTTATTATTAATGTGATTATGAGCATAGAACATTAGCATATAAATATATAAATATTTGGTTGTTAACTTATTATTTTAGTTGATTATTATTATTATTATAATTATTCTTATTTAGTATAAAATAATATATTCTATATTTTCTCTCTCCATATATTTTGTCAATCTTCCCCGTATCTAAATCCTATCACTATTATGCACAAAATCTTTGCTATCTCTCAAATCTCAAATTTTTCCCCATAATCAAATCTTCTCTCTCTCTCAATCATAGCAAATTTTATCATACCCGTACTCCCCCTATCAAAATAAATATATACATATAATATCTAACCTATAACCTCACACACGTCACCATCAATTTCTCTCATCCTCTCTCATCTTCTTCTCTCGCAGATCTTGTTCTCCCCCTCCCTCTCCCATCTCCAGCCACCCCAACCCCGCTCGACCGCCGCCTGACCACTCCTGCGGCCGCCACCCAGCTAGCCGCCAACCCAGCCATCACCCAACACATTGTTAGATCTTAGAGGGGATGGTGATTAGGGTCATATGTTAATCTAATCCGATTTTATGCCAATTAAAATTAATAACAAATTATTCTTGCAAGAGAGATATACAATATGTTACAAGCAATGATAATCAATATGAACAAAGAGCGATATCCTAGCAATGAGATATACTATGAGATATATGCAAGGATATATAATTAACACAAGGGTAAACAATCTAAACTAGATAGTGGGCAATATAATCAATAAGTAATATACAAATACGATATAAGATATGAACATAAAAATAAGTGCGCCAATGCAATCACAAACAAACGATATGATTACGGAGTTCGGTCCTCACGACCTACGTCTCCGCTCCACACCTCGAGGAAATTTCCAGTATCACAACCGGGTTTTCTACGTTTATCCGAATACGTTTACACCACACAATACGGTTTTTTAGTTTACTGAAAACTCTACAACTAACACACTCTTGTAATCCCACTCTACACTCTCTCAAGTGTTGAACTAGATGTGTCTCCCTCAAGTGCTCGGATACAACCTCTCCCTAGGTTCGTCAACCGACGCCACTCCTCTTGGGACGATCCTCGACTCTCGTCGCACACTTCTCTTGGTGTACAAGTGTATTACAAAGTGAATCTCACAATAAGCACAATTATAATAAATGGTTTGTTCTCTAATACAAGCCGAGAACTTAATTAAGCACAACTCAATGTTACAATCTCTCACAATCCTAATATACTATGTATGTAAATACTAAAAGC